CCAAAGAAAACCAGTAACATGTCTTCATAGTAGCTTTATTCACGCCTAGTAACTCAAATTGTCTTCCAATTGTTAAAACAGTATTTAGAATACTACAACAGAAGTATGCAGCCACTCCCCAGACAGCTCAAAAGGCTGTATTCTTTGTGACATTCTAGAAAACCAGTGGTTCTAAACCTTCCTAATACTCTGACACCTCTCCACCTTTTTCTTTTTCTCTTTGTAGCCTTGACTGTCCTGGACTCATTTGTAGTGATATGATTAAAGGTGGGGCACCATGGGCTGGAGAGATGGATCAGAGGTTAAGAGCTCTGCCTGCTGTTCCAGAGGTCCTGAGTTCAGTTCCCAGCAACCAACCACATGAGGGCTCACTACCATCTAAGAGAACTGGTGTCCTCTTCTGGCGTGCAGGTGTAAAGGAAGACAGAACATTGTATACATAATGAATAAATAAATCTTTAAGGTGGGGCCAACCCAATGGGCTCTTAACTATAAGCAGAACTATTGTTATGAATTGTAAAGATGAATGGGGTTGGGATCCACAGGTTGGGAAATGATGCTCTAAGAACTAAAATCTTACCAGTTTTGTTGGAAGGCAACTATAGAGGGATGCAAATTACCCAGCCTGGGATACATATGAAATGTTGCAGGGCATGGTGATGCACACCTTTAATCCCAGCACTCAGGAGGCAAAGGCAGGTGGATATATATATGAGTTCAAGGCCAGCCTGGTCTATAAGGTGAGTACTGTACACCCAGGGATTATTACAGAGAAAACCTGTCTTGAAAAACCAAAAGAAAAATGCTATCCTTAGAAGAAGAAGAAAAAAAAAAAAAGATCACCCTCATGGAACCATTAATTGTAATGTAAAAATGGGTATTACACTGTAATTTAGGACCCCTATTAGAATTCATTAACCTAGCAAACAAATCCTCACACTACAGCTTTCTCTCAATTCTGACAAGGGGCTGGAAAGGTTCTTGTTACTCCATTAGTTCACAACTATCCCTAATTCCAGTTCTGGGGGACCCAATGCCCTTTTGACCTCTGGGCACCAGGCAGACATGGAATGCATATCCATGTATGCAGAACAAACACTTCTACAACACCCACAACTCTAATTCCAAGGGATAAGGCTGCTTTCAGACCTGAGGACACCAGGAACACACAAGGTGCACACACAGTCGAAACATTCTTGTACAGGAATGTATTTACAACAGCGCCTGGCTCAAGAGGAAAGGCTTTTTATGACCTGGATAGCATGTACCCACTACATTCCTAGTCAGGGCTCCACTTGAGAAAATGCATCAAAGCAGGCCACTCCAAAGCCATGAGGGAACAAACCCACAGCACACACCACTTCCATCAAGTCCCACTCTGTAAGAGGCAAAACTATACCCATGGCAAAAACTGGACATGGTTACATGAATGCCCATAAACCAACACCAGCGGTGAACAGGGCAGAAACAGAATCCCCAGAGCTCACTTGATGGCCAGCCTAACTTATGAGCTTCAGAGCAAGTAGGAGATCCTTTTTACTGAAAAGGCCAGGGAAAGACACTGGAACACCCCCAAATGGACCACCCAACATGTGCACACAGAACACACAAAGACACAAAGAAACATATAAAGCTGTTTAATCAGGTTGTTAGCAATTTAGAATACCAGCTTGTGAGGATACATCCCGTTTGTCAGGGAGAACTGAGCTCGAAGGTAGCCCTGCAGCTGGGGAACAGCTTTGATCTTTGGCAGAATCTGTGAGTCCACAGTTTTCTGATCAGCCTTGCGCTGTTCTGTAATCTCGTATTTCTAAACAGAGAAAAGAAACATTAAGAACCAAGACTCCCTATAAAGTCCTACTTCTCAGAGACTGATAAAAAGCAACTCACAACTTTCCCTCAAGACTTGTCTACTCGAAGTCAACCAAGGACAATCTCCAGCCAGACTTACACCAGTTCCTGACTGGAGAAGCTGGGCATGGAAACACCACAACATGGGGAAGGACCTCACCTCCTTCTCTGTGTCAAAGATCTCGCCCTCCTGGTGCCTGGGCTTTCGCAGCTGCTTCTTCTTGAAGTAAGCGTCAGTCAGGTGTTTGGGGATTTTAACTTTGCTGATATCAACTTTTGTAGAGGTGGCAATGACAAACTTCTGGTGTGTTCTGCGCAGAGGAACTCTGTTGAGAGCAAGAGGTCCTGAGGGGATAATAAAATAAGTTTGAAAAATAAGAATCAACATTGAACAGTTAAGATTTGGTCCGGGCATGGGGGCGCATGTCCTTAATTTTAGCAGCACAGAGAGATGAAGGCATAGCTTTCTGAGTCTGAGGTCAGACTGGTCTCCCCAGTAAGACAATAGAAATAGTTAACTGGAGTATGAGGGCAGGGAGCTAAAGATGATTTAATGGTTGTTCTTGCAGGAGTGCCTTATTTAGATTTTCCCTACCCACAGAGTTCACAACTGTCTAATCTGGGGAGAGAAAAAAAAAAAGCCACCTGCTCGAAGATCTGTCTATCCAGGGCCTTCCAAGGGACCCAGGTGAGAAGAGGACCATCTTTTTACACAGGCTACGCCTGTCTGCAACCATTCACTTTCTCTCGTAACCACTGTCTTTGAACCATTTACTCTATACCTGTCTTTGAGATCCACCTGCCACCAGCCATCATTCACTCTTCATCCTGCTCTGCTGGGGACATGGAGTGTATAGAGTGCAAACTCCTTTCTTCTTGTAGGGATCGAACTCAGGCTCTCAAGCACATTTACCCAATAAGCCATCATGTCAGTACAAGACCATGTCCTTACTCTAATTAAACCCTTGGCAAGTATAGAAAATAAATGAACAACAGGACTATTGAGACAAGCCAGAAAGGTCTGACTTGTCTTCTTACCTCCACACAGGCTTTGACGTATGTGTATGGTGGAGATCTAAATTTCAGGGCATGGGGAATGCTGTAAGTTTGAGGGTTACACAAATCACAGTGCAAGTGATAGGCACCTGCCATCCCAGCACTCAGGCAACAGGATTAAAAGGTCAAGGCTATCCTGGGCTCCATAAGATCATGTCAAAACCAAAAAGACCAAGGATTTTCTTACCAGTCACAAGTAGCAAGCCACTGCCCAGCTGTTTCAGGAAAACCACTCTCTGGAAGTCAACAGAAAATGACATTTAACAATCGAATCTTGACTTCTGAATTAACTGAAGGACAAATACAAACTCATTAAAGCCACTACCAAAAGGCATTTCCTGATTTCTATTCCCACTTACCCAAGCTAGTCTATTTAAGTAAATCACACATGCAACTCAAAAGAGCACAAACTAGCATATACTAATGGGACTAAGGGCTTAAATTAGTTACAGAACACAAAGTATTTACAGTAGGCAAGGGAGGACTAGGCTCTGTTGAGTGACAGGGCTGCTTTGGAACACACAAACCACCGAAGTCAAGCTTATCATGAACAGGGCCCCAGTGGGGCAGCGCTCACCTTGCCCCTGTGGCGCCCGGTGAGGATGATCAGGACGGTCCCAGGAGTGATGCTGGCTCGCAGCTTTCGCACATGCTGACTGAAGGGCTTTTTGCCATGGCTCAGCAGCTTGCGAGGCACGTCTTCAGTAGGATAATACCTAGGCTGGAAAGAGTGCATGTGCCACACATAAGCAACCAGCTCACACAAGCTGGTTCCAAATTCCAAGGTTAAGCCTCAGAAACAACATGGCAAAGAACCTCTCCATTACCGGCATGCAGATAACCACTCTAATCCAACCTCTTCCAACGTTTTGGCTTGCTTTGTTTTTCTAGACAAGATTTCTGTGGAGCCCTGGCTGTTCTGGAACTCACTCTGCGGATCCGCCTGCCTCTGCCTCCTGAGTGCTGGGATTAAAAGTGTCACTGTGCATGCAAATGTGTAGGTGCTCTTGAATAACCCTAGCAATTGGAGGTACAGGTAGCTGTGAGCAGGCTGTGACGGGTGCTGGGAACAGAACTCAAGCCCTTCCAAAGAATAGCATGTGCCCTTAACCACTGAGCCATCTCTTCAGAATTATGTCTCAGATAGTTGTGGAGGAGGCAGGATAATAGTTTCATGCCAGACAACTCATTCCCAACTATACCAGACCAACAGCCTTTCAAACAAACCTCAACCTACCAAAAGTTAACAATTTAAGTGCCACGAATCCTTCCTCTTCCAGCAATCTGGCATAATCCTACATAGGCACCATATACCCACACCTCTACATCATGCAAATTTAGTTTGAGATTCAATTCCCATCCCTCTAGACTTACCATTTTTCGAAGCTTCACCACCCGGGTACCACCATTCTTGTCACCACCTACTGGTTTTGTAACAGTAGCAAGGACCTTCTCCTTTTTCTTCTTTTCAACCTACAAGGACAAACCCATCAAGGAGCCTGGCAAACAACCTTAACCACAGGAACTGAGGCATTGTGGCTGGTGGTTCCCTCCTCTCCTACCTTGGACTTTGCGGCAGAATATTTCCTCTTGTACATTGCCTTTCTGGAATACATAGCAGACCGGGAGTACCTGCCAATTCCTCTAACCAGGACAGGGTTTCGGCTGCAATGGGGCTTCCCCTTCTTGGGCTTTTTAACCTTAGGGTCACCCTTTTTGGCTGCTCCTGCAGCCGGGGTGCCAGCAGCAGCAGCAGCATCACCGCCAGCCTTTTTGGCTGCAGGTTTCTTCTCCTTTGTGTCAGGCTTCTCCGCTTTTTCGCCCGCCATCTAGTGATACAAAAAATAAAATAAAAACAGAGGCATCTCATCAGCCTTCTGTTAACAAGCCAGTATCAAAACTACCCTCTGCTGCCTGCTCCTCCCAAAGGCCACATGTCAAATATACAGCACTATTAGCTTGCTAAAACGGTAGTGGCTCATTATTTTATTCTTCCCTTCTGTGAATCGGGAAATTTAACAGAACTTTTGGTAGAGCCCAGAACTGGAAGACCCTACTTTAAGGCTCCCCTCTCCCCCAAACTCCCGTCTTTTAGGTGTGCGACCCACTTCAGTGCCAGCAGCCTACAGGCAGAGGCCAGGCAATGGTTCGGGGCCGCGGGTTGTTCTAGCACGGGACACTATGAGAGGCCCAGGGCAACGGGCCTACCATAAATCCAAACCCGTGCACCTGCACGGAACTTCTAAGACCACTCTCTCTGGGTTCGCCTTGGAGTCCCGAAGCCACCTAGTCCCCTGTCCGGACGACTTCCGGGGGAGCCGGGAAAGCAGTTCTTCGCTTCAGCCACAAAGCCCAACGTGGCCGAAGCAAGCTCGGCGGAGAGTTCTGGAACCCCGACCCCGACTTAGTGGTCGCACGCTGCCGCACAGACCCTCTAACCCTCCCCAGGCTACGGCAGCCGGCAAGGCCCAGAGAGTGTCTCCAGCGCTACGCTCGCTCTTCGCCCTCCGCCAACCCAAGCCAACAGAAATGAAGCTCCCGTGAGACCTGGCGAATGACCCCGACCATAGCCGGCCCTGGGCGGCGAACCTCGGACGTTCCCCGCCTTCGGATGGACGAGGATTGGGGTCCTGAGAACGCCTCCCTCATAGAGGCCCGCCATTCCTACCTTGCAAGATGGGAAAGAGGACTAAGGTCCCGTCTTCCGGTCTATAAGCAATGACGGGAGGTGTCCGAATTCACTTCCTTCCTGTGTGGGACATCATGGGAAATGTAGTTTTTATTATTCTAGGCCCACTGTAACTAGTTATGACTAGGGAACGTTTTTTCCTTAAGAGGTAAGGGCAAATGAGAAGGTTCCGAGTTTAAAGGCTCTTTCTCATAAAATAATCCCAGCACTGGTGAGGCAGAGGCAGGTGGATCTCTGTGGGTTCGAGACCAGCCTGGTCTACAGAACTACTTCTAGAACAGCCAATGCTACAAACACACACACACACACACACACACACACACACACGCACGCACGCACACGCACACGCACACGCACACACTCACACAAACAAAAAATCCTTGTCTTGAACAAACAAAATAAATAATAATAAAATAAATAAAGATTAAAATAAGTTTTTGTTCATATTAAAAATCAAACTAAGCTACTAGTCTTTGAAAAATAACACAGTATATGTGACAATTCCCTATTTTTTAATTACATTTTTATTTATTTTATGTGAGTACGTGGGGGTGGGAGTGGGTGCATGCCACAGCACACAGGTAGAGGTCAGAGGCCACTACGGGGAAGTCAACTCTCTCTTTCCACCATCTGAGTCCTAAGGGATCAAGCTCAGCTCATCACAAGAGAACTTAGGTCATCACACAGGCCCCACTTAAAATAGTTCTTCTCTGCTTCACGGTGCTTAAGTGTATGTTATTTCTGTTGTCTCTGGCCCTGGGTAACTAAGGTGAAAAAAACAGTGATGAGAGGCCTCTCAAGGCCTCATGACACTAAAGACCAACCACAGAGAATGGGGAGCTGTGAAGACAGTGCCTTGGAATCCAATTTGAGGGCCTGGAGTGATGGCTCGGCAGTTAAAAGCACTGACAGCTCTTTCAGAGGCCCTGGGCACTATTCCCAACACCTACACGGCAGCTCACAACTGTCTATAACTCCAGTTCCAGGGAATCGGCACCCTCACACAGACATACATGCAGGCAAAACACCAATGCACATAAAAAAAGCAATAAGGGGCTGGAGAGATGGCTCACTGGTTAAGAGCACTGTCTGATCTTCCAAAGGACCTGGGTTCAATTCCCAGAGCCACATTGCAACTCACAACTGTTTGTAACTCCAATTCTAAGGAATTTGAAAACCTCACACCAATGCACATAAAATAAAATGAATTATTTTTTTAAAGCAATAAATAAATTAAGTAAAAAGAAAAAAACAATCCAATCTGAGCTGTGCAAGGTGGTACACACATGTAATTCCAGCACTGGGGAGGCAGAAGCAGGAAGATCTCTGTGAGTTTGAGGCCAGCCTGGTCTACAAAGTGAGTCCAGGACAGCCAAGAACAGAGAAACCCTGTCTCAGAAACGAACGAACAAACAAACAAACAAACAGACAGACACACACATAAAGTCCAAGCTGATTCTCTATCTCTCCCCCCAACCCCTCTTTGGTTTTCAAGACAGTGTGTCTCAGTTTTCTTGTATCTGTTGAGGCTTGCTTTGTGACCAAGTATATGGTCAATTTTGGAGAAGTTTCTATGAGATGTTGAGAAAGATATATATATAAAATATAATATATATATATATATTTGTGTTTGAATGAAATGTTCTGCAGTTATCTTTTAGGTCCTTTTGATTCATGATGTCTGTTAGTTTCATTATTTCTCTGTTTAGTTTCTGTCTTGATGACCTGTCCATTGGTGAGAGCAAGGTTGGGCATTGAAGTCTCCCACTGCTAATGTGTGTGGTTCAATGTGTGGTTTAAGCTTTACTAATGTTTCCTTTAAGAATGTGGATGTTGGGGGCTGGAGAGATGGCTTAGCGGTTAAGAGCACTGCCTGCTCTTTCAGAGTTCAATTCCCAGCAACCACATGGTGGCTCACAACCATCTATAATGAGATCTAGTGCCCTCTTCTGGTGTGCAAGTGTACTTGCAGACAGAACATTGTAGAATAAACAAACAAACAAACAAACAAATAAATACGTGTCAGCTGGGTGTAGTGGCACCTGCCTGTAATCCCAGCACTCAGGGAGCCAGAGGCATGTTGATTGCTGTGAGTTTAAGGCTGCCCTGGTGTACAAAGAGAGTCCAGGACAGCCAAGGCTACACAGACAAAGACTGTCTCAAGAAAACAAAAACAAAGCAACAACAACAACAAAACACACACACACAAAAAAAAAGAATGTGCATGACAGGGCTAGAAAGACAGAAAGATAGCTCAGTGGTTAAGAGCCCTGGCTACTCTCCCAAAGAACCTGTGTTCAATTTCCAGCACCCACATGGCAGCTCACAAGTGTCTGTAACAGATTCTCTGGTTCTAGGGAATCTGCTACCCTCACACTGACATACAGCAAAACACTAGTGCACAGAAAAATAAACAAACAAACAAGCAAAAGAATGTGTGTGCTGTTGCCTTTAGGGCATAGATTTTCAGAACTGAAATATTGTCTTGGTGGATTTTTCCCTTTGACGAGTATGAAATATCCTTCTCTATCTCTTTTGATTAATTTTGGTTGAAAGTCTAGTTTATTAGATATTAGAATGGCTAGTCCAACTTGATTCCTGCGTTTGTTTGCTCGGAAAACCTTTAGCCAGCACTTTACTCTGAGGTAGTGTCTATCTTTTGCTGCTGTGGTGTGTTTCTTATATGCAGCAGAATGATGGGTCCTCTTTTTCGCAGCCACCAGTAGCCTTTCTTTTTATTGGGAAAAATTGGGTCCTTTGATGTTGAGAGATATTAATGACCAATGATTGTTAATTCTTATTATTTTGATGTTGGTGGTGGTAGTGTGTGTGTGTGTGTGTGTGTGTGTTTTCCTTCTTTTGGTTTTGCTGGTGTGGGGTTATTTATTTTATTTTCTTGTTTTCTTGGGCATAGTTAACATCTTTGGATTTGAGTTTTTCTTCTAGTATTTTCTGTAGGGCTGGATTTGTGGATAGATATTGGTTTTCTGTTTGTTTGTTTGTTTGTTTTAGTTTTTTGAGTCAGGGTTTCTCTGTAGCCTTGGCTGTCCTAGAATTACTTTGGAGATCAGGCTGGCCTTGAACTCACAGAGATCCGCCTGCCTCTGCTTGCCTGAGGGCTGGGACAAAATGCATGGGCCACCACATCTGGCTGATAGATACTGTTTAAATTTGGTTTTGTCATGGACTATCTTGTTTTCTCCATCTATGGAGTTTGAAAGTTTGGCTCGGTATAGTAGTCTGGGCTAACATCTGTGATCTCTTAGAGTCTGGCTTTTAGAGTCTCTGTTGAGAAGTGAGTGTGCTTTCTGATAGATATGCCTTTATATGTTACTTGGCTTTTTTTCCCCCCTTGTTGATTTGAATAGTTTTTCTTTGTTCTGTACATTTAGTTTTTTGATTATGATGTGGTGGAGGGCATTTTCTTTTCTGGTTCAATCTACTTAGTATTCTGTAAGCTCTTCTATGTTTATGGGGATCTCTTTAGTTTGGGGAAGTTTCCTTCTATGCTTTTGTTGAAAATATTTTCTGGGTCTTAGAGCTGGGAATCTTCTTCTATTCCTATTATTCTATTCCTATTGATCTTTTTTATAGTGTCCCAGATTTCTTAAATGGGTTGTGTCAAAACTTTTTAGATTTAACATTTTCTTTGACCAATGTATCTATTTCTTCAAATGTATCTTCTATGCCTGAGATTCTCTTCTCCCATCTCCTGTATTCTGTCAGTGATGTTTGTGTCTGAGGTTACTGTTCTCTTCCCTAGGTTTTCCATCTCCAGGACTGCCTCAGTATGTGTTCTCTTTATTGCTTCTATTTCACTTGTTTGATTATACTGTCCTGTATTTCTTTAAGGGATTTATTCATTTCTACTTTAGAGGCCTATATCATCTTTTTGCTTTGTTTTGTTTTTGAGACAGTGGTGTGTGTGTGTGTGGCCCTGGCTGTTCTGGAATTTGCTTTGTAGACCAGGCTAGCCTCAAACTTACAGAGATCCATTGGCCTCTACCTCTCAAGTGCTGGATTAAAGGCCTGGGCCATTACGCTTGGGTAAGGCCTCTGTCATCTTTGTAAGGTTGGATTTAAGACCATTTTTTTGTGTTTTGTCTGTGTTAAGATATCCAGGGCTTGTTGAAGTGTGATAGCTGGGCTCTAGTGGTGCCACGTTTCCCTGGCTCATGTGGTTTTATGATAGCCCTTAGCCGTCTGGTTGTCCCTGGTTGGAGGCAGAGAAGTGAGTCTGACAGTGGAGCTCAGGGAACACAGTGCAGCTTATCTCTGCAGGCTGTGTCCAAAGGTGGGCCAGACTGGCAAGGGATTGCAGGGAAAGGTCTAATCTGGATGCTCCTGGGATCCCAGCAGGACCCCTTAGGGAGGCAGTGGTGGGGGTTTGTGACTGTGTAGCTCACCTCTACTGGCTGTGCCCTAGGTGGCAACAGAGTCTTTCTGTGTAGACCAGGCTGGACTTGAATGCACAGGGATCTACTTGCCTTTGCCTGTCAAGTACTGGGATCAAAGGCATGTTGTACCATGCCCAGCTC